GTGAGCAAACACTCGACTGCGAGCTAGTAGTCGTCGGATGAAGAGCATAATTGTACGATGACGTATCTACACACGAGGAATGCGAACACATTCCTTAGAACGGCAACGTGAAGCGTGACTGTATCAAGTTCTCTCCTTTGTACTTTCTGTGCTCTGGAGGTAGAGAATGGACAAACAGGGGCCAGTTTTTGGAACTACTACGATTTCCCGAATGTAACACAAAGGCTGCCCATATCGTAGTAATCCAACTCTTTCTGCTTCATACCGACCACATTTCGACCATAACGGAATGCGGCGCACTGTCAAAAACACGAAATAGATGAAGCTGAGGTAGTTGGTAGCCGACCTCGGAATGTGTTCACCACCATCGGTAGCGTGTCTGTACTGCAGGTGAAGCAGATTTGAGATCCAGTGTGCGACAACAACGTTACTAAAGATGAGGCGACGTGATCGTTGCCCCTAATCTGGATCGACAAACCGTACGATGAAGGTGCACATTGATGAGTATAGGTTCTTCGGCTGCAGCTTGCGATTCAATCAGTTTGGCAAGTCGAAGCTCACCCGTGCTGGGACGGATTGCGGAACAGATTGTTGTACCGAGCGTGGATGGTATTTCGCTGTTCTCGCGCGAGTATTCGAGGTTGTGACACGAGATACCTCGAGACATGATCTAATCGCGTTCCCCGAGAACTGTTGGTAAAGCATTAGATGCCGTGGAAGAGTGAAAGAAAGAGCTGGCGCGTCTGTGTTGCCCTCAAAGTTCAAGCTAGCCACCTGGGCAGGTGGGCAGCCTTGGAAGCGACACGTGAGCGGACCCCCTCGTCTCTGCCAGTTCCGATCCCGCGTTCCGAGGTCACTCCGTAACACGCCATCATCCACGAAACATCCAACACAAATTAGATTACTACATTACCTATTGCAAGCTTGAAGCACCTGCTTTTGGAGACTGTACCGTACTGCCTTGGGATGGATTCCACTAGCATCAACCCTTCAATACAACTGGACCCGTTTCCTTCCGATATTATCATGTGAAAAGAGCATTCCTAGGTACCTACGTACATCGGGAGTGCAGGTGTCAGGAAATTCGAACGTACAACGGCGTTCCAAATATCTGAGAGAATGTTGATCTTGACCTCAGCAGCTGCAAATGTTGTGTCTGCTACTTCCTGACAGCAGCTCCTACATTCGCATAATGAAGCGATTGCGTGTGCTGAGCTCGCAGAATCGGTGTCAGGCATGCATGGCTTTGACCTCTGACAACTTGCGTGCTATACATAGCCTGTATGGGGTTGTTCCCGCCGACGAGTTCTAAGTAAAGCAGTATATCGTGCGACCTATATCCCAATGGCTGTACATATGCTGCGCAGCGGAGTCATGTCCGTACGGGTCGACCAAAGTCATGACGCGGCTTCAACACTCGTCGCCCCTGCCGTGTACCTGAAAACCCCTCATACGAATACCCACAGTTTTGAAGGAAAACACTTCTTCCAGACTGTACCAATTTCAGCGCATTCTCGGACGCCACGAAAGATTAGGAGAGGGAAGCGAAAGAACATCGTGGCGACCAGGAGACAGTGGGGCCTTGGTGATAGTGGCTGCGTCTCCAATACCACAACGGCCCCTCACGACCCTGCAGGACCCGACTCTTCATTCCATGCCCCACTGTCTAACGCGGAAGGTGGTCAGTTCCTGTCGAATGGCCGCTTCAGCCGAGCTAGATGCGATGATCTGATAAGATTAGATGTCATCGTGACCAGCAAGACCGGCTAGCGCCGCTACCCAGCTGTCATGAGGGGCAGTTCGCGTGCAATTGGGGATGAGCTCTTTCCCAACAACATCCACCTCATGATCCAGCAACAGCACTACCAAAGCCACATGTCTCCATTAAAACAGCCACAAACAAAGATTTGGGCGCGAAGAAGTTTCTTCTCATGCTCGTGAACAGTCGGGCCTCTTCACAATGGAGTTCCCACGCTGACTGCTAGTGCCACCAGCTAGAAGACGCCAGGAACGGCGCGAAACTGGATCATGCAACCACGACGCGCTTGCTCAACGAGGATGCTCTTCCTCGTACGGTTCCATCCACAAGGCGAGACCCTCAGGTTGGTCCCGCACGGAATTGAAGCTTCGGCGCACACTGCTCGTTTCGATGAGCCGGGAGCTCCATCCGCCACTGACACTCCGGGCCAAGACCTTGGCAATGCAGAGTTGCGGCACAGCCAAGAGGAGCCAGCAATCAGCTCACAGCGAGATTGGATCTTATCTGATCATCTAGCACTTATCTGATCATCTAGCCGCGCCTAATGCTCTCTGGGCATACGAGATACCTGGACGGTGGGAGATGATCCCAAGCCACCGGGTGGGATACACATGGCAAATTTTTCAGACGCTGTAACTGCGCTGACATTCCCTGTCCGGTCTTCGGAGAGTGGGCCGAGGGTATACTTAAGTATGGCAGCGCTGCCTGTCTTACGATCGTCGCTCACCTGCATCCCAATTTCATACCCTGCCTTGCCCGGCACTTTTCCGGCATCCTTGTTTTGCCATGTCGAACCTGGCTGCGACTGACGCCGTGCGACCTGTAGAGGGCTTTGGTCGTCCCTCAAGAGATATCGACATGGAGAAGAATGGCGACCAGGCTTTCAATGCCCACGAGACTGGCAGCGATGGAGAGACCAAGTCTGTCGAATCGGAAACCTTCCAGAACGGTGTTCAGCGGGTGCGCGCTATCACTGAGATTTGGAGCACGAAGACCTTGATTACGATGCTGGTCTTGTATGTCTAATATCATTCAAACCGCGAGATTCAAAGACTGACCTGCTCATGTAGCATTTACCTTATCGAATTCGTCGCTTTCCTGCAGAATGGCATTGACGCCGCGCTCAACCCCTTTATCACTTCGGCATTCGGTACACACGGTCTCCTGAACGTCGGAAGCGTAATGGCAACTGCGCTCGGTGGCTGTCTTCCTCTCGTCATTGCCAAGGTCATCGATATATTTGGTCGCGTGGAGGGTTTCTTCTTCATGCTGCTCGTCGTCGTCGCCGGTATGGCTATGAAAGCCGCCTGCACCAACGTCCAGACGTACATCGCCGGTCATGTCCTCTACTGGGCTGGTCACATTGGTGTTTTATTCGTTGCCGACATCATGGCCGCGGATTGCACCAGCCTGACGAACCGCATGATCATCTTTACCCTCAACGGAACTCCTCGTATCGCAAGCACTTTCGCCGCACCCGTGATCGCCGACATGTTCTACTACCAGAACAGCTGGCGATGGGCTTTCGGTGCATTCATCATCATCTTCGTCGGTTGCTGCGCTCCCGCGTTGGTGCTCATGATGTTCATGTACCGCAAGGCCAGGAAGGCTGGTCTCGTCAAGAACGTAAAGTCGGATCGTAACTTCCTCCAATCGCTGTGGTACTACGCCGTACAATTCGACAGTAAGCTACACACTCATCTCAAGATTTACCCGTATAGCTACTAACGCGCGATCCAGTCCTTGGCATCGTCCTCATCATGTGCGCGTGGAGTCTCTTTGTTCTGCCTTTCAGTCTCGTCGCCTACGCGCCCCAAGGCTGGAACACCCCGTATATCATCGCCTGCATCGTCCTCGGACTCTGCCTCTTCCCCGTCTTCTACATCTGGGAAGCCAAGTTTGCGCCCGTCCAGTTCTTGCCCTGGAAGTACCTCAAGAACGGTACCATCATTGGATCCTGCCTGCTCTACTGCGTCATGTTCCTGTCCGTCTTCTGCTGGAACGGATACTTCTACTCCTACTTGCTCGTCGTACACAGGCAAAGCATTCCCCACGCTGGATATATCCTCAACGCTTTCTCGCTTACCTCGTCGACATTCAGTCCGCTCATCGCATGGTGGATCCACAAATCCGGTAACTTCAAGTGGACGGCCTACACTGGTGTACCCATCGTTCTCCTCGGTACTGCTCTCCTGATCCCCTTCCGAAACCCTTCCACCAACCCCGGTGTTCTCGCCTTCACTCAAGTACTCGTCGGTCTCGGTACGGCTTTCTTCGCAACCTGCGCCCAGCTCGCCGTCATGGTTCCCGTCACTCACCAAGAAATCGCCGTCGTCAACGCCGTTTGGGGTCTCTTTGGCAGCTTCGGTTCATCCATCGGATATGCCATCGCCGGTGGAATGTGGAACAACATCCTCCCTGGACAGCTACTCATGCGTCTGCCCGAGGAAAGCAAGCCCGAGTACAGGGCGATTTTCGGAAACATCACCTTGCAGCAATCGTTCCTCGATGGTACGCCAGAGCGCGATGCCGTTGTTGGTGCTTATGCCGATGTGCAACGCAAGATGGTCATCACTGGTGCGTGCTTTGTACCGCTGTGCTTGGCTAGCATCTACATTTGGAAGAACATCAACGTCAAGAAGCTTGAGGAGGAGAACGGCAAGCAGACCAAGGGTAACGTCTTCTGAGCGGTACATTGTTCGCTGTATGATGTGCTCAGCGCAGTCGGCTGCAAGGAGCGTGTTCTCATTGGCAGGCTCATTACTCTATATACCCACATCGCCATGGTGATGTAATATAATACTATCGTTTATATCTTCATGCTTCTCACGCATCCTGATCTTCTTCGCTGCTCCACATGTGGTGTATTGGAATGAATGAGCGCTAATCATCCCATTGAGCTCTGCTTGTGTCCCTCCAAAGCATGCTAACAAATGAGCGTTGCGCAAGATGCATAACCTGAGTGTGTACATACGCTGAAGCCGCACCTCCCTCCGATACCTATTGACAACGCCAATATGACGGTCGCGGATGATCCCAGTCCATGCAATCGAATCGATCGAATTCCTCAGGATCGAAGTCGTAATCATAAACATCCTTAGCACCAGGCTGAAAATTCGGATCCTGGCCCTCAAGATACGGGCCCCGGACGTTCCACCAATCGCAAGGTATTTCGCACTTGCATACCGGGGGCCTACGTGAGTCGTTAGCAACGTCAACACCATTTTTCAGGGTGGGTTACCTACAGTCTTTGCCACGGCGTAGCCTGTATCCGTGCGATTGATCCAGCCTTGGAATCACTCCGTTTGTCTAGAGTACTAAGAGCAAAGTTGAACTCCCACATCATTCGTATCCGTCTCTTGACATGACCAGAGAACGTGACTCGGGGTATATGTCTGATGTCCGCCCACGCGAGTGTGAAGAACCAGTGAACGAAGACTTTCTGACACGAGACTACTTTGGTACCCCTGTTTCCTGCGATATTAAGCCAAGGGTCCAATGACCTCCACGTATTACCAGGACCAATCCGTATAGGCGGACGGGTGGTGAAGTGGAGATGCAGATGGAAGAGCGTCGGTATCTCGCGCAGTTGGGCGATTGCGGGGGTCATCTCGTTGTCCAATTCGACGAAACCCTGATGGCGTTCGCACTTTAGGCCAAGGAAGCGGAAGTAATCTGACGTGGAGAGGTTGAGCTCGATACGACGCATAGCATGGTAGGGGATGAAAACGTGAGGATAAGTGGGACATATAGAAGGATGATGATACCCGTTCAGCAATGCGGTCGTGCGCTCCCATGTGGCCTTTTTGACTTCGTGGCAGATTTGCTGACAGGTGAGAGCAAGTGTGTTGGGATGAACTTGGTATTCGCTTTCGTCAACAGTCACTTTCCCAAAGCGATGTGTGTCTATGCAGCGGCGCTTGGGGCGCGACAATCTGACTTGCTGGTTTCCGTCGGAGTCGCCCTTGCTCAGCGATAAACATATGTAGGGGCCGATGGCTTGATCGTATACGAGGGATCGGAGTTCTTCGGGAAGGTCGAGGAACTGGAAAGCTTGGCCGTTGGACTTCCACCAGTCGGCCATTGTAAGAGGAGCGGGGTTGAGTGACTCAAGATCTTCGGCCATCCAAGTGAGAAACGGTATCCAACGGGGGTGTACATCAATCTCCAGAGCGATTTCATGAGTAAGTCTTGGAGGCTCTGCGGACTCTGACTCGTGGCGGTCGGCTTTTTTCCTGGAAGGGCCCCCCAGAGGGTGGTCTGTAAGGTCATGCTTGCTATATGAGGATATGTCCTGCTCTAATAGGTTCAAACATACGTTAACATTGGCCGTCTTTTTCCAGAATTCGAAGTCGGTGCGGTGCCGATGACGGATGCACGCTGCCACTGCGTGCTTTAGAGACTCTTTCTTTGAATCGTCAGGTTCATCTTCCAGATGAGAGGCAATTCCATAGCATCGAGTCAACCATTCTTGCAACGTGAGCCACTCGTCTTCTTGATTGATCTGCGGGTGTGGTGTTTGCTCCGCGAGCAGTGTAGACTTCAAAGACTGTCTCCGTACACCGAGGAGTATATCCTCTGCCCCAGGTTGGATGAGTCGTATGGGAGTCGATGATGACGTGGAAGCTGTTGAGCGCTCGACTCGCAGTCCTATCGAGTTCAACCTGAACCTCAGACTCTTTTGTTGCTGGTCCTTGATGTACGTCTCAATCTCGGTAATAGTGTCGGTCTAGACTCGCTGTCAGCATAGCCACTTTTACGCATGATCCTCAAGCTAGCGTACGATCAGAGTGCGCAATGTTCTTCGTTCCTTCATCGCAGCGATCTGCGTGGGTCTGGACTTAGGCGGAGGTTTAGGAGCCATTGCGGCTTTGCTCGGTGGATTGTACGGGTATTGGTGTACTTGTCGAGAAGCTGGTACCGAAAGTAAAGCAGGTGGGGGCCGTGCTCCGCAAACGAGTGTACCAATGGGTGTCAGTAAATTGTTAGTTTTGCATATCCGACGAAATAAAGACAGACATGGGGCCAGTGCGACCGTGCACGGGGTACCGAGGGAGATGAAAGCTCGTAATTAAATGTTGTTGCGGCGCGGTTGAAAACGAATACGCCAGTATTTCATTGTGTGGTTGTTTGGGTATCGAAAACGTGGTAGCGCAAACGAGGCGGGACTGAGTGCCCAAACCTCAGTGTCGTCCAGTTTGCTGCTTCTTGGTTAATAGCAAGCGGCCTCGAGATTCCTGGGGAAATACCATTAATTTCCTCTTCAGTCTTCAGGCTCGGTCTCGCTATCAGGCGCAGGAGAAAGCGACGAACCCGAGCCAAAAGAGAGCAGTGCGGATTCCTTCACTCTTGTCGACTGCGGAGTTTTACCATGAGCCATCTCCAATACCTCAAGCAATCCCAACAGCCTGTCCGAGCTTTCCTGTAGCAGCTTCTTCGCTTGCTCTTCTTCCTCAGCGTTGCCTCTCTTGCCTTTACCCGTACCATATACACTACGTCGCGCTTGGATACCAGCCTCCATAGCCTTGCGAAGAGCTGGATTAGGGGCAAGAGCATTGTTCTTCATCATGTGCATGAACAACTGTTCCAGTATGAGTGAGATCTTGGTGTTTGCTGCAAAGCTTTGCGTTGTTCCTTTTAGTGGAAGAAGAGTCTTTTCGAAATCCTGTTGAAGAGGGTCTCGGAGAAAGAAGCTCGGTGGCTTGCTAGCTATCATACCATGTAGAAGGTTCGCGGTGAAGGCGACTCGAATGTCGTCGGGTAGCTTCATCGTAGACAAAAGCACCTGAAAGGTCATGGTCGGGACCTGACTGAACTCTTCCAAGATGTTGTCGCAGAGGTCGTATATCCGGGTGAAGAGTTCCGGTAGCTCTACGGCCACTTGGGCGAGCTGTTTGTTGTTAGTTGTCGTCGACTCCGACCAAAAAGGTACCTACGAGTGCTATGAGACGCTGCCGCAGCTTGATCGCGTCCTGTCCGCCAAGGCGCTCTATGGCGTCGTGTACGTTCCTGATCCCTGTATCGCTCGTTTGCGAAGACGTGTCGTCGCCACTCTCATCCCCGCCGTCGTCCGATGCGTCCTGCATATCTTCGTCGCTACCATAATCCGCCAACTCCCCAGTCTCGAAGTCAACCTCACCCACTGGCTGGTCTTCATTTCGTTTACGTCTCGGCTCTGCTGTCTCCCTCTCCCAGACTTCCGGGTAGTCTTTGAGCGAGTCGGGTGTCGCCGTTGCGAGTACAGCTCTGATGATCCGGCGCCTCTTTGCGCGATTCATTGCTGTCTCGTCGCCGGTTATGTAGTGCCAGAGGAGACTCTGCTGGAGGGTTGTCTCGTCGCTCGCTCCCTCTTGGTTGCTTTGCTTGACGCAGACATCCCAATCGGCTTCGAGGAAGTCGAGCATGACCCTCAGCCACGGTTTCCATCGGTTCCACCGTTTCTTATGCTTTATCGCGCAGTTGAATGCCCACCCCACCGCATGCCAGAAGTCGTCTGCGCGATACCACAGACTCTTCTCGTTGGCAGCCTCGCCCGCTATTCGCTTGATGTCGCTGCTCAGCTGGGGTGACAGACTTGCACTAGCCCTGTAGCTAGGCGCGCTTCTCCTGTTGCGTTCTCTTGGAAACATGAAGGCTTTCCTTATCGTTGGGTATGCGGGGTCGTCTATCGTCGTGTGCACGCATTGTAGATATCGCAGCGCGGTATTGGAGCCTTTAGCGGCGTCCCGCGATTGCGCTTTGGTGGTGAATCTGGGGTCGGCGACCATGGAAGAGGCGAAGGCGATGTATGCCGGCGGTGCGAGGAAGCCTATGTATGGCTGCGCGGGTCTCGATATGCTTGTGCCCGCGGCGAGGAGGCTATAGAGGAAGTCATAGCCGCTGGCGTCTGGAGTCAGTGTAAGCTTGGTCACGCGTTGCTAGTGGTGTCGCATACATTGACCGCCCTCGAGGTAGGCTTTGGCATGGTTGGTGAGCTCGTAAGACGCTTGCTTGGTAGGTCGGCGCTGCTTGTGCCGTGGTCGTGCGCTTACAGCTTCGAGTGCAGCGGATCGCGCATGTCCATTGGTATGTGCGGAAGGGTTCAGCGTCTTGGAGCCAGAAGCTGGCGTTGCGAGTTTCGCCATGGACGCGATAGTTGTGCTGAGGTGCTAGTGTGGGGGAGTCGCTGCAAGGTCGGACGCGCCCGCGTCGAAGCGCGCTTTCACGTGGCAGGCGATAGCATCATTACACGGCCTCAGCGTCCGTCTCAAGCTTCACAACACATCTCAACATGTTACCAAAAAAAGAGTGCAGACTACTACAGTGGAACAGCGTAAGTCTAAGCGATGGGCAAAAAGAGCAGGACAAAAAGAATCGCAAAAAGATCGTTTTCTTCCGGTACCGGGAATCGAACCCGGCTCTCGTCGGAAGCTGACACAATTGACTCATGAAAGCGACGGATGCTAGCCGATACACCATACCGGACTTTGATGGAGTGTTGGTAAACATGATATTTTATCATGTAATTGTGAGCCCACAGAGCAGTTTTGAGCCTCCATCTCCAATGGGGCTATGTGCCCACTCACAGACAGGTTCACCTTGGCATGCGCTAGGTGCACTAGCGAGCTAATGTCCCAGTGTCTTAGACGTAGGTCCACAAACACCGTCGCCGGCTGGCATACAACCATTCATCATGCCACAAGAGACAGTTAGATCAGACAGTCCTTTAGGTGGAGTTCCGTATATGGCATACAATACGAGCAACATGTTGCGCAGCCTTCTTTCGGCTGGCTCCAACGATTGTCGGTTGAAGTGGCGTTCGCCGGAGGCTCGGTGCCTGCAGGTTTCGTCGGAGGGCTTAGCAAACTTCAGCGTTCCTCCCGCGATTAGAACCCAGCATCACCATCAGATGTCGCAATTATTCGTTGCGGGGTCGCGCACCGCAACGCATCCAACAGTCTGCAACGGATTATGGTGGCACCTGGTGCCACCCCACTTCAACGAAGAATAGCACGCGTTCTCAGGTACCATAGGTCGATAATCTGCCCACACTAGGGGTCGGAGTAACTCCTGTCGCATTGTGTGAGAAAATTTTCAACGATAGAAGTATACATTGCCTTAGAAACTATGCATTTGCTAATGTTTGATAGTATGTATACTGCAAACGGCAAACTCCGACATCAATTCGAGCCACCCGTGTGGTGCATACCTGTGTTCCCGCGATGTATCGTGCCGCAACATGAAATCCAGCGTTTGACCGTCGTGGGGAGCCTTTGTGGTGAAGGTGGGGTAATGTAGATGCAGATGCCCCATAGAGGTTGTATAGCCTGATGGTGAGACGATATGGGATTCTAGCATGCCGCTTCGCCTCGCCTCTTCCTTCTGGAATGCTTGGAACAGCTCGGCCTTTTCTTGAGCGCCTCGACCTCGTATGCTCTCTTCGTCCGTTCTCTTTCTGTGGACGAAGACAGCGATGATGTCAAGATGAGCGACAAGAGCACCGATGATCACGCCAATCTAGATTGCGCTACGTACATGGAATCTTGGTCGTTCGCGAAGAGCTTGGTATCATATGAAAGCTTCCAAGAGTTCCTAAAGTTTTGGGAACCTTTGCTGACGTCGATCGAAGATTTGAACGCTTCGTTTTCATCATGAATCTCGTCACAGATCACATGTATACAGTTACAAACACCAGCTATTCGAATGCATTTGCATAACTCACATCAGTTCAATGGCTAGACTCGTTTTGTGATGCGGTCGTTCCGCAAACTATAGTGTCGAAAACATAGATAGCGATAAACAGATTGGATGGGATAGGGCCCAGAGAGTGATAACATCCGCGTTGCCCGTTTCTTCCTTTGCCTAGTACATCCCGATAACCCCTGCTCAAGGTCAACGACTGAGACAGTACTTTCGAGTAGACTTGTAACGTGCTACGCGGTATGCGATACCTTACTGTTTAGTTGATAGCGATAGAGTACGCCGTCGTAGTCAACTTCGCATTGCTCCCAGTGAACACCTCCGTGCCCGCCTGCACGACCTGCAGATACAAACTACTCGTGAAACCATTGCTTCCATAGTTTGCCAACAGATATTGGAAGAACAGGTTCTACAGCCACACATTAGCTTCCCTATCATCTCCACAAAGTAGACTCATGTAACGTACCAAGTCGGCGCTGAAGTTCGTCGCCCGCCCGCCACGAGCAACAAAACTGTATACCTTGACAGAGCCGTTGAGACCGTATGCAAGATCGAAGATCTGGCCGCCAATAGTGACGGTCGCGATGGGCGTGAAGGGATATCCGTTCGCGGACAAGGGTGATACACCGCCGTAGACGCCGAGCCAGACCATGACTTCAAAAAGGTTGGTTCCGCTGGCTGATGCGCCGAGGAAGGTGTCGTAGGCCACTGCGGGTAGCACATCAAGGTTAGCCTACATATCCCAGAGACGAAGAGAGTGCACGAGAAAGGGCGGAAGTAACACACCATTGACTCGCAAATCTGTGCCAGTGTAACTCCACTTCCACGTCGTCGGCATACTCGTATAGCTACCAATCTGCTTCTTGGTGAAGCCCGTCTCGACGTTTGTGTAGCTCTTGACTTGGTTGGGCGTGCCAGACCATGACCATGTTGTTGACCAGGCTAGGCCAGCTGTGCTGCTATAGCTGTCAATCTGAGAGCACTGAGAGCCGGTTCCGGAAGAGAAGCCCCAGCCATTGGTGTAGAGCGTGTATGGGCCGGATGACTGAGATTGGTATTGGCCGCACTGAGCGGCGCGGGGTAGGAGGGTAGCGGGTGCGGCGAGCGCAGTTGAAGAGAGAAGAAGAAGAGCGGCAGTGGAGAATAACATGCTGATCGATGGATGTGAGTCGGAGCTGTGGTATG